CTGAACCTGTAAGCCAGCCCCAATTAAATGTTGTCATGGTATCTGTTCACAGCAGTAAAACCCTAACCAAGACACAGTGTAATTGAGTCTCAGAAAGTTCAGAATGGTACAAAGTTTAAATGCTGTAAAACAAATACATTGCTGTAGTACAGGTATGAAGCAAACGCCTTCATAAACACAAAACAGAAGGTAGGGCTTATGGAAGGCGTCAGGGGAAGAGCAGACAACCTAGAAGGAGCACCCCGGAGGAGCTCCAATAACAGGATGATGTTCTGCTTCTGTCCCCACATCTCTAAACATACATCACCGGCATCACTTTATGATGCAAGTACTTCACAATTTAGAAAAAGCACTGGTAAGGCAGTGTTCCACTTCTTAGAGCCTCCCTCCATTTCCTATGCCCACACAGACTGGCAGCCTCTATGGAGGAACCGAGCTTTGTTCATCTTTGATTCTGTTCTCAGCAGAATGCAAGGGTGCAGAGAGCCAAATGAACTGAGTCGTGATCTGAGAAGACCACACTTCCCAGGTTTAATCTGTGTACAGTTATGTTTTCCAGCTTGGATATGGCTAATTAAGTCTGTATTCCTAACAAAAATAACGATGTATTTCTCCACTTAAAATGGACCTCCTGTGCTTCAGCTGATCTGAAAGGGAAATGCCTTTTACAATGTAGCTCTCACTAAACATAGTGGGTCAGGATCACCTGCTTAAGTAAGTGGACTTTTTATTTTCCATTTACTATAATTATATATGTGTACATATGTGTATAGGAACACATGTATACATACTGCTATACTTTTACAAAAAGAACTGGTGTCACCAGACTGTTCAGACACATTGAATTTTTATCTGGAAACTACCAGAAGCCCCTGGAAGTGGGCAGAAGTCAGGCAGGGATTAGGTACAGCACAGTAAATATTCCACCCACAACCATATATGCCAGTGACTCTGCCTACTTCTCTGATTTACTTGGTTACTTATTTATTGAGACTGTGTCTCAGGCAGCCCAGGCCAGCCTCAATATATATTTCTTATATATCTAAAAATGACCTTGACACTTCTGGCTCTCCTACCTCTGTCTCTCATGTGCTGGGATTACAGGTCTGTGATGACATGCCTGCCATTTTTCTTTCCTTTTACTTTTTGAGACAGAGTCACTCTGAAGCCCAAGCAAAAGTGACTCTGGAAAACAAGTTGGCATTTGCTGGTGAAGACGGAGATACGAATATGCACAGCACAGGAATTTTATTCTTGGGCATACAGCCAAACTGCCTAACTCACTAAGAATCTAACTCACTAACCCCAAGCTGGCCTGGCCCTTAGTATATGGGCCAGATAGGCCTAAAGCTCACATTAATCCTCCTGCCTCAGCCTCACAAGTATTAACATCAAAGACACGAGCCATCACAGCTGACAAAACGTGGGGTTTTTGCTGTTGTTTGCATTACTGGGGATTGAACTCAAGGCTATATACCATGAGCTACATTGCCATCTAGACCCCCACTGTTCTGCTTTTGTGTCTTGCTATGTAGTACGAGTTAGTTATAGGTGTGAAGCATCATGCCCAGCAAGGCCCTAGCATCACACTCACACACTCACACACACACACACTCACACACACTCACACACACACACCACAGGGGAGCGGGGGTTATGAGGTAGCAAGCACACCAATGTGCTACAGCTGAGAGAATGGAATTCTGGCTCTCCGTGGTAGCTCCTAGAGATCAGACTGGAGTCTAGTACACAGAAGGGGCTTGTGCTGGATAGTTTTATGAAGCTTGACAGGAGCTAAAGTCAGCTGAGAGGAGGGAACCTCAAGAAAATTGCTCCATTAGATCAAGTTGTAGGCAAGCTTGTAGGGTATTTTCTTAAGTAGTGATTAATGAGGGAGGGCCCAGCCCACTGCAGGGAGTCCCTCCCTGGGCAGATGATCCTGGGTGCTATGAGCAAGTCAGAAAGCAGTACTCCTCCATGGCCTCTACATCAGCTCCTGCAGCCAGGTTCCTGTCCTGCCTTCCTTTGATGATAAACTGTGATGTGGAAGTATAAGCCAAACAAACCCTTCCCCCCCCATGCTTTGGTCATGGTGTTTCATCACAGCAACAGTAACGCTAAGTAGGGCAGGGCTCAAAAATGATTTCTGAACCAAGAAAAAAAACAATGCTTCCCATGACTGCAAACCTATCCTGGGTCTAGATCTAAAAATTTTAATTTACCCTCTGTCAAGCCAAGGATCTAGAACAGCCAGAAGTCTTATTATGCACAGCTGGTGGGAGTTTAAGTTGGCAAAACCACTTTAGAAACCTCAAGATTAGCAAGATTAAATCACTTGCCCAAGAACATGTAAATAAGGAGCTGAAATAGAACCTTCCGAAGTCAAAAGGCAGAATTCAAATTTCCTCTACTAGACTACAAGCCATACTCTTCAACACAACACTGAACTGTGCTTGCCACAAAAGCCACTCACTTTCTAAATTGTGTAAATATGAGTTTAAAGACAAAGCTGCCTATGATCAAAAGACATTATAAATGTGTAAAAATGTGATAATAAAACTATTACTCTATGTAATTAACATATGTTAAATAGAACATTTTTAAAAGGAAATGTAAAAAGACAAGCTGTAGGCAATAAGTGAGCTCATATTCGCTAAATCATCGGAGATTATACAATCAGAACTTAAGGCAGCCAGAGGGAGAGGGGGAGCCAGCAAATCGCAACAGGGTTAACCAGACTGTCCTCTACAACCTTGACTCAAGATAAAACCAGCTCACCTACACAGAAACGCACACCCTTGGCACCAGCAAGTTAGCATTTCTGAATGTTTGACATGTTGAAGAGAGGAGGGTAGTACTGTAAAACGGACCATCTTACTGAAACAGGTTTACCAAGCCATCAGAAATGGCAGCTGAGAGCTTCAGGACCAGGTACTGATGGTTAAGTGGCTACAGAGAAAGACTTAAAGAGGGTGAATGAAGGCAGGAACATCAGCTCAAGGTGGTCACCAGCTACATACTGAGTTCAAGGCCAGCCTCGGCTATATAAAATCCAGTTTTTGAATGAAGGGGGAGGGAGAAATAACAAAAGGAAGAGAGGAAGGAGAAGCTGTTGAAGCAGAGCCCAGAAATTAGGTCTCCTACTTTCTGGACTCACCTTTTCCTCTGCACTACCTCAAAGCAAAGGGAAAGCATGAAGATGTGTTACTGTCCCTCACCAAGCAGCTAGATCAGTCTGGCCTTTACATTAACTCTGTTTAATCCTCTTGTCAGCTCTGGGCATTAGATATTATCACCATTTACTAGACGGGGTGGGGGTGGTGTGGAGGGAGACCTAAGGCTCAGAGGCCTTAAGTTAACTCACTCCTAATCATACAGTAGGCATTTGGACTAGAAGCCAGGACTGTTCCACCTCAGCATGGGGAGATGCACATTAAAGAAATAACTTCAGAACAGGACTCTGCTAAGTGCTTAAAAATACATAGTTAGCCTAGAGTGATGGCACACACCTGTATCCCAGGGCTTATAAGGCTGAAGCAGGAGGATTACTGAAGGTTCGACGTACACTTGGGCTATAGAAGCTTAGAGGCCAGTCTACACTATATAGCATAACTCCATCTCCAAGAGAAAAAAAAAAAGAAAGAAAGAAAGGTATGAGTAAAGTTCTGAAAGTAAGAATATGTTTAGCCACTCAAGACAGAATATTCTTCAGTGTATATCAGGACAGGGGTTAGGTTAAGATAACCTCAATCCAACCTTGGACAAGTTAATCATCTTTAACGTGACCAGAGCCATAGAGAGATCGGTATAAAATTCTTGCCACTTAATAGGGGCAGTAAATTTTCACTACTTTCAAATCTCTTATATAGATAGATTGGACAGAAATTATTGAAAAAAATTCAATTTTGCTGTTCACTTCTCCAGGTATCTTTCACAGCTAGCTACCTGACAGCAACTGCTACTTTCGTTTCTCCCTGTTACCATATCCTCTAAGTGCAATACAAGAAGTCACAGACAGGCACCTCCAGTCACCCACATAAAGCGAAGGGAAGCACTAAGATGGGATAAGATGTGATCCCCCACAGAGCAGCTAGGCTGGTATGAGCCATTACATAGTCAGTGGTCCTGAATGAGTTTCAGACATCTTTTCGTAAGAGAATCCCTTTCAATTAGGAGACTATCACTTTTATTTCTGAAACTAGTGCAAAGCTATGTTTGTCTCCAGCAGGGGCGCTACTTTCATTACTTACACAGACGTTTTTAAGTGGTTATATAGACCTTAAGAGATTCAAGCTTGTCCCGCAACATGAAATGCAATACTCACGGACTTCTCCAGCACAGTTTGGAACATCTTTGGACTCCTGCTTCTGTCTTTAATACAATGAATGCCCACTATTTACTGAACAAGTTCAACTGGCTAGCAGTGAACAGCGCTTCTATTTTTCATGACAAAGGAGTTTTGCATCTAATTTGATTCCTACAGTTTAACTTCTCAGATGGGGTCAAACTGGAGTAAGCCACCGATTTTGTTTTACTGATTTACATCAGAGGAAAGGAGTACAAAAAAGAGCTGCACTGTAATTAGCCTCCAAAAGTACCACATTGCTCTGGCTACATTTTAAAATGCTAATCCTTTTTACTTCGCTTTCCTGTCTTTCCAATCTAAAGCTAAAAATCAGTTCACTTTATCAAATTATCAAATGAAAGGTTCTAGAAATAGCTACCTATTTGTGGAAAGAGCCAGAAGGCACATAAAAATGGAAGATATCACTTGAATCGTCCTCCCCCAAAGCACCCCGGATGAGACAAATCCCAGTAAAATCCTAGACGCCTTAGGTAAAATTTAAGGCACTTCCTAATGGGGCAGGTGTGAACTCTAAAAGAAAACAGCCAGAAAGAGCAAAGTTCAAGCATCCCTCCCCTGGGGACCCCCGAGCTCCACACACTCCCGGCAGCAGCCCAAGCGAGTCTCCCCAGGTTTAGCCCTTCGGTTCACACACCTGCTCCAAGGTCCAGCCGTCGGCTCGGCCGCAGCAGCGTCTGCACCAGACACCGGATCCCCGAGCCCCGCCCGCCAGCTGGGTGGGAGGAGCCGGCCCCAGCCGCAACGCGAATTCCCCTGCCGCCGCGCTGCGAAGCTCTTCACGCAGGGAGGTCACCCGCCGCCCGCGGCTGAGCAGAGGCGGGAGGCACCTCCGTGACAGGGAGCTGAGGACAGCCCAGCCCCCTCCCCCCGCGGGTGCGGCGGGCTCGGTGCCCCGAGATCGTCGCCCCGCCCGCACCCGCACCGGGTTCCGCAGCGCCGACCCCGCGGCCGTAGCCCTCAGGCAGCTCAGGCCTCCCCGGCCTTCAGCGTCACAGTAATAATGAAGTTTCCCCCGCACTCCCGCGGCCGCAGAATGAGCTGGGAGAACGACTTCCCGCCTGGCCAATGGTGGCGGCGGCAGCGGGGCGGGGCGCGGCGGGTGCGGAGAAGGCGGGGCGACGTCGGGACGGGAGGGGCCGGGGAGGTGACCGGGAGGGGGCGGGGAGGTAGCGGGACTCCCTGCTGGGAGGAAACCGGCAGGGGGAGGGACCTGGGACGAGGGAGATGACAGGGAGGTGGTGGGATCAGCGGCTGGGAGCTGTCTGGTGGAGGTTGCGGGACTCTCAACTGAGAGGTGGTAGGGAGATGGCAGGACCCTGGACCCAGAACGGGAGAATGGAGGAGTGAAATTTTTTCACTTTGCTGGAGTGAAATTGCTTTTCGCCAGCGAGGATGCAAAGGAGCGATGCGCGATGGTGTGGGGGTTTTGGTCGATTGGATGGGTGGGTGGGTGGGTTGGTTGGTTGGTTCCTTTTGGTTCTCCATTCAGGTTCTTATTATTCATGCGGAGGTGAGAGGGGCCACTGGGACTGGCATGTTGAGCTATAGGGTGACTGCCAGAGCTGAGGGTAGTTCCAAATCGATGTCACTCAGGAGCCGAGGACTGTGGTCCTGCAGTGGTGCAGAGTCAGGAGAGGAGGGCACACTGCAGAAAACAGCGTGAGAATCACCAATTCTCAAATTATAAAACACCACCTTTGGTCTAAAACTCCAGTGGGGGATAGGAGTCTGGGGGTGAGGGGGATAGAAGTTTCAGGTCCTCTGCTTTCTCAGGCCTTTAAGAGGATATACAAGCTTTGTCCTCTCCCAACACCAAAAAGTACTCCCAGCTAGGGCCCCTCTTATCTTCAAATAATCTTCAACAGTGAACTGATGTATCTGTCTGCCTTGAACTTGAAACGCTGAACATGGGGGCTTTAACCCAAAAGAATGTACAAAATTCCCCAAAAACTAATTTAAAATGAAGGCATGAGCCCCTATCAACATATACAATCCTGAGAACATATACAAACAAGCAACTCTTAAAGGGACTCCTCAGTCCACCCTGACTTATTCATACAAATGTAACAATAACAAAAAGACCATGAATTTGAAGGGCAGCACATGAGAGGTTTGAGGAGTGGTAATGATATAATTTTATTTTAATTAAAAGTTAAGAGGGAAATGACTGTAAGTAGAAGAAATTTCATAATCTGACATTTCCAGAATAATTCAGATCTCATCAGGTCTTGAGACACCTACTCTGAAAACCTACCATATTAACCAATAGAAAAGAAATCTTATGACTGATAGATCCTGAGGATAGGGCAAGAGACTGGTGTGTACTGACAGCAGTGCCCTGATGTAGCCTGAGGATATGGCAGGGATGTTGGCTTCATGTGGACCTTCAGTCACAACTGAAATACCACTAAGGCCAAGAAGATGAGGAAGTAGAATCTCTGTTTTGGGGTAACTAAGGTTATCTTAAGACAAGGTTTTGTAAATTTTCTCCACTTGTGGTCTCTCTTTGCCTCCCAATTTTTTACATAGAGACATATAAAATAGGCATTGAAATCATAAGGAATTTAGCTTTTAAAATGATTCTTTATTGTCATACAGTTTCACCATTTATTAAAGAGGACAGAAAATTAGCATACTAGTTAGATTGATTGCTCATTTATTTTACATGAGGAATTATATCTTGTTTAAATACCTGTGACTCCAGGACAGAGAACAATGTCAACGTGTTTTCAGAATTAGACACTTTGATTCTATAAGCATCAATGCTGAGAAAGCTATTTGACTTTGTACTTCAGCCACTTTGTACTATATATTTACACACACACACATACAGATATATGCATCTTATAAAATGACTGAAGTATGTTTAAAGTAATTTCTGAAATGATGAGAAATTGTTCTGATCTCATGTCAAAATTTATTGGATAATTTTTTTTAACTGAAACTCAAGTCAGGAATTCAATTTCTTAAATTAAACATTCTTCCACAATGTAACCCAGAGACGCACTAATTTAATATGAACTTGTTCAAGAATGTCAATAAATGGATATCAAGTCTTTCTTCTCTGTAATTAAACCATTATGTTTCTATAAGAGCGGAAACTGTATTTGCAGGGGGAAAAAACGTAATTCATTACACAATAGTGTCAAACCTGAGCTGCCTGGAGCCAAGACTCCCTCCTGCCTGAGAGCAAATGTCACTTAGGTAAACCCTGAGTTAAGGAATACTTTATTGCCCTTCTGCCTGAGAGTAAATGTCAGTTATGTAAATAGCCTGAGTTAAGGAATACTTTATTACCGTCCTGCCAGGGAGAAAACATTAAGCAACTTGAGCCGACAAATGTTTTAATTGTCCTCTTGCTTGTGAGAAAATATTTAGATAAGTAATTTGGGCTAGGAATTCTTGTGGGCTTAGAGAACTTTGCAATTACGGGATGACCCTGGACCCTGACTGTTAGATGACTTTCCTGTCTGCTTGCCTTATAAAGGTTATAAACAGCAACCTGAACAATAAAGTTTAAGCACTTGATCAGACATTCAGACTTGTGCTTTTTCTTTGTGTCTCTTGTCCTATCATTCTTACCCCTCCCTTCCCTAGGGTCTCCTCAAATTCCCTGCAGGCTGGGTCACTGAGCTGAGCTATTTAAGAGAGTGTTGGTGGATGGTGGTTTGACAATTTGTGCAATGCAGAAAATGCTACTGTGTGTTAAAAAACAAAACTTCAATGAAATATAAAATTGCAATTTAGGGGAAGGGGGTGCTTTTGACTGAATATTTGCTCACAGCATACTCAGAAAGTGACAAAATGTTTTGTGACCCTTACATTCAGTGATGTGACTCCATATGGGGTTGTGATTCATGGTTTAAAAGGCATGGTCTTTAAAAAAAAATCCACAAACCTTTGAAATATGAATCACAAAGGCTGTTTTTAGAAACACTAGAAGCAAGAGTGATCACTCATTCTACAGATGTGTAGCAGTGTTGGAAAAGCTCCGTCTATTACAAAGATACAAATCCAATTAGAAATAGCAGCAGCAAGAACTGGGTAGATGGCCAAGGAGAACTTAAGGCAAACAATGGAATCCTATGTCTTGTGTCAAATATAAAGTTCATAATCAGTCTCAATTTTGGCCTACGAACCTAGTTGGTTTTGTGTAAATTTTCAAGTTGAAGAGAAAGGTTTGTTATCAAAGACTCAAGCCTAGAGGTGAGAAAGAAATGATGTTGAAATAATTAGAGTACTGTAAGCTTCCTTAAAATTGGCCAAAAGCCTAGGAACTTTATCACAAGTTGAACAGTAAAGAGAAATTATTTTCACTTCTTTAAAAAAAAATTATTTAGCCAGGCAGTGGTGGCACTCACCTTTAATCCCAGCACTCTGGAGGCAGAGGCCAACAGATCTCTGAGTTCAAGGCCCATCTACAGAGTGAGTTCCAGGACAACCAGGGCTATTCAGAGAGATACTGTCTTGAAAAACAAAAAACAAAATTATTATTGTTGATTGTACATGTGTGTCTGTGTTTGTGTAATTTCCTGATAGCTTTCATTTTCTTGCTTAAAGAATTAAAACAGCCCAGGAACTCAAATGCCACCTGTTCTGCCTTACATGTGGGTCCTAGCTCAGGTTTAGATATTTAATTTGGAGTGTCTGTAGAGGCCAGAAAGCTTGAGGGACCACGAGTGCAGAGAATGGAAGAGGCTTTCAGCAGGGGAGGGATTCTAGAGCACATAGTACGTGAAAACAGAAGGGAGAGAGTATTGGGAGGTGGGATGATTTAAATGGAGAAGGAAGAGAGGAAAAGGTGGGAGAGAGGATTAATAAAGGCTAAGGATTCCTGACAAAACTTTATGGAAACCTATTTCTTTGTAAGCTAATTAAAATGTAATAATAATAATAATAATAATAATAATAATAATGTTTTAAATAGAGGTACCCTGCAAGTATGGATAATGCTGCTGCTCCTGGAAGCCAAGGGTTATTCAATGACATTCCAAAGCATGGCATACCTCTTCATGAGTTTCTCAGGTAACTCCAGAGGACCCCAGAACAGTACAGGTTACTGCCATTGCTCTTGGTTGCCACAGAACTGGATAGTAAGACCTTGTTGCTGAAGATGCCTCATATTTTACTGTCAGGCTAGATAAAAATCAAGCTGGAAGGTTTCCTCTTGCTGGTTAGTTTTCAGAAGACCAGGTGGTACTTCGCAGGCCGGCAGCTGTGGTGAGGTGGGGAGCAGCATCAGTGATATTAACCAGGAATAGACCCTGTGTGCTGCAGTGCTCACCTGCCAGGCAAGATGTGCCCACTCATACAGGAATGGCATAAATGCTGTGTGGGTGACCAACAGCTTTCTCCTGAAATTAGAGGCCCACCTCACAGGAAGAAATTCATGTCTGGTACTGTAAACCTGGTCAAGAACTTGAGGCTGGAGAAGTCATAGGCCTTCAGTGGAGCCTACTGTCACTGTTTTACCAAGTGATCATGTCACACTGTGTTATAAATGTGCTGGTTTAAGTGATTAGGGTCCCCATAGTCTCAGGATTATGAATACTTAGTCCCCAGTTAGACCCACTGTTGTGAAGTTTTAGGAGACAGGATCTTGGTGGAGGAAGTACATCATGTGGTGTGGGCTTTGGAAGCTTAAGGCCTCACCTGCTTCTGGTTCACCCTCTGTGCTTTGTGATTACAGTAAAGGATGTGAATCCTCAGCATACTGCTCCAGCCACCATGACAGCAACTTGCTGCCATGTTTCCTCACTGTGAACTCTAACCTTCTGGAGCCATATAAACTCAACTATAAATTGCTTTGGTCATATGCTTTATCACAGGAATAGACACTCTGACTGAAGCACTTGGGCAGGCTAGTTTTGAAGGCAATCTGACAGAAAGTCATCTCAGACTGGGTAACCTCAACTGAGGGAATGCCTCCAAAGCTCAGGCCACAGGCAACCCTACAATTGGGAATTTTCTTTTTCTTTTATTAAAGATTTATTTATTTTATATATGTAGGTACATTGTTTCTGGCTTCAGACACACCAGAAGCGGGCATCAGATTCCATTACAGATGGTTATGGGCCACCATGTGGTTGCTGGG